TATGCCCTGTTTAATGGCTCACATAAATGTATTAATGTAAATGTTATGTGAATTGTGTGCTAGCTGTATTGTGTGTTCTTTCTCTGTCTAGCCTGTATGTTTGTTTCTCATCACTCTGTTTCATGTTTGTTTCTCATTATAGTATGTATTGACTCATGTATGAACTGACTCATTGTATGATTCATTGTTCTAGTATTAGTATCTTCCTAAACTACCCCTATAGTAGTTTACTAGTAATGTATGAACATGGAAGTATACCCTTGCTTCCCAAGGGTATTGAATTGACTGGAAGAACCTTTATGACTATATATGTACACATGGTATATAACTAATATTTAAACGACCTTCGGACGGATGACCGATGCCCTAAAGCCACATCCCAACGAGGAAAAGGAGATAAAGCGAGCTAGCCTTCCTAAGTCCTTTAAACATTACTTATATAACTATACATATATAGGCATGCAATTTGATAATATAAAAGCATAAAAGTAGTTTTGTAAAATCTTTGAAGAGTTTTAAATTACTAAGAAAGATGACTTGATGTTAGTTTGTAAAACGGTTTGAAAGCAGTATATAAGAACAGTTTTAAGTATAAGGAAAACCTTTGTTTCAAACACAATTGTAACAGGGTTTTGACAAGAAACATTTAGTATGTAATACAGTTTAATAAAGAGTTTTAAACTAGTAAAAATGTTTTGGAAATCCATTTGAAGAAATTTGTTTAGTAAAACAGCTAAAAGTGTAGTAAATTCATTTGTATGCTAGTTATTAATCACATGTGATTGATGTAATAACTAGCATGATTCAACTTTTATCCCCTCCCCCATAAAAGCCTTTAAAAACATTTAAAAGGTAGATTAAGGGGTATGAACTCACCTGTAGCAAGTGGTTGGGATTAAACGGACTGTATAGGATGCTAGCTGTCAAGTGAAGACTTGTACACACTCTATGATCCTAGTTAACATATATTAACACATATATGTAACCAATTAGTCTTTAAACAACTAAATAACAAAGTTAAGAAATCCTAGGGCATGTTAAACACCTTATATAAGTGTTATAAGTCCTAAGGATTGCATCTAAGTGTTGTAGGACTTAGCTATTGGGTTTAGGGTTAAAAGGAACCCTCCTTTTGAGTTTACGGTTTTTAGACCATCACTTAATGAGTTTACGGTCGTAAACCCACGAGTTTACGGCCGTAAACTCATGCTTCTTTGACCACTTTGTGTATTGAAGCCTTATAAGTCCATAGAAGCAATTCTACTTGAAGCATAAGTCTAGGGAAGTGTTTGTGGCATCAAAACACCCCTACATGTAGTTTACGGCCCATGGACCACTATTCCATGTGTTTACGGCCGTAAACACATATTATCTATGGTCTTTTGATGTTTTCAAGTCCTTAATATATCAATGAAGGGATCTAAGCTAGTTGCTAAGGCTTAGGATAAGCTAGGGCACACATTGGCACCCTAAATAGGGTTTACGGTCCAAGGTGTTCTTGGACCGTAAACACCTTTGATCTTGGTGTTCTTGGATGATTTCTTGTGATATAGAAGTGTCACAAGCCTTAAGATACTCTAGGATAGAAGTACTTACAAGGTAGAAGCTCGAAAAGGTCCAAAAGTCCAAGAACACTAGTGTGTGTTCTTGGTGTTCTTGGTGAAACTTGAAGATTGACCCTTTTGGAATGATTTCACGGATAGAAGTGTGTTAAAACACTAGATTAAGTCATATAACAACTTAAGAAAGCTAGAAACACTTACTAGATTGAAGATCTTGAAAAGTTTTTGGATGATACTTGAGAGAGAAATGGATTTGGATCTTGAGATTTGGAAAAAGTGTAAATAATGACTAAGTGTCACATATATACTCCCAAATTTAGGGTTTTTGGCTGTAAATATTTTATTCAGGTAGTAAACCCCAATTTCTTGGAGTTTAGGAATAACAGTGATGCACTATAACCCTAAGGCATCCTCTCTCCTGATATCTCCTAAAGCGTAAATCCTATAATACCCAAACTTATTCCAAAAAGTTTGAAACTTAGCAGCAACTCTTCTGACTTCTATTGAATTGTAGGGTTGTTCAGAATAGAAATTTCGGGTTGTCACATATGTCCTGTCCATACTCCCGGACTAAGGACAACTGACTATGTCTTAATCCATACTCTCGGATTAATGAAATTTGAATATGTTCAATCTATAATCTCGGATTAGGGACAATGACTATGTCTAATCCATGCTCCCAGATCAATGACATATATTAAAGTTCTATTCTCTGAATATAACTCACTCGCACTCGTAAGAAGATACTACCCAATATTCCTCATAATTAATTTTAGGTTTACTCTTTATCCAAAATCATCATATATAATCAGGTATGTTTTTTAACACGTATTTCAGACAACATCAAATAACTCGCACATAAACATATATTTAATACTTCAATCAATACTTGTATTAAAATCATGTTCATTAAAGGGACTATGCACTCACTTGTTAAAGTGATGATTCCAAACTCGGACAGCACTTCGCTTCTAACGCTTCTATTTTCCTTCCACGAAACCTAGTATCATTACCACTAGATTTTAGTCTAATATTCATTGTGACTAATTATTAGTCTAGATTTGTCATTAACTCAGAGTCTACTTCATGATCTATCAACTAAGGAACAACCAGGTAGGATCATATCGGAGGTAGGGTCCGTTTGGTATACGAAGTATACTGTTTGGAGATCCCACTTTAAACACATTAATAAATCATAGCCTAGACATCATTCTCGTAAGTAGATCAATCAGTATAACGACTTTGAATTACTGATAAGTCTTATTTATAGGTTCATAATAAAGATACTATATTTATATATAAGCTATATTTAAAGTAGCGTAGGCGTATCTCACTTACAACGGGTTTTGCTAAAAACTGGGCTTCACGTGGGCGGAGCTTCTGAGCCAAAATCTCTTCTTCTCGGAGCTTTCCGGCGCTCCAGGACTTGCTTGTAACACCTTGGAGGTGCTTGGGAAAAACCTTGAAGGTTTGGGGGTATTTGGGAGAAAAGAAATGGAGAGGTGTGAAGAAAATGGGAGATTTTCGCCTCTATTTATAGGCTGAGTTCGATCCGAAAGTAGCATGTTCCCAAAATGAACGCAGCGCGTTCGTTGCCACGTGTCACCATCTTGTTCCAAGCCGTGGGGAAGAAGGTGTGGCCCAGATTGCGCCACGTGTCACTCACAGATTATCCCATAAACTAATTATCTTCTAAAATCCGTAACTTTCGCATACGATCTCTATTTTTGACGTTCTTTATATCCACGCGTAGGCGGGATCGTACTCTACAACTTTCATTTAGACTCCGTCAGCTAATTTTGACTTTATTTTTAACAGGGCGGGACAGGAATGGTCTGTTAAAAATTCATAACTTCTTCATCCGATGTCCGTTTTCGTCTGTCTTTTTGCCGTTGTGCTACTATTAACAAGGTCTTCGATTCTCATTTAGGTTGTGTCGACCAAAAATCACTTGACATAATATTCGGACTTCGGGTTGTGTACTACTGACCTGAAACATAGAAAAATCATAACTTCCTCATACGAAGTCCGATTTCGGGCGTTCTTTTTATGTACGCTCTCGGTTTAATGAACACTACGACTTTAGTTTAGAATGCTAAGGCTAAAAATCGCTCTATCATAAATTCACTATTTACGTCAGGCAGTGTCGTGTCGGTTTTGCCGTAAAACTTCGACATATCATAACTTCTTCGTTATAGCTCGGATTTCGGCGGTCTTTATATGTACGGAACCCTTGTGACATATTCTACAACTTAGTTAAGATTACTCCTTGTAAATAATCTTCCATAAAAAACTCATTTTTGATGCTCATTGTCTCTAAATTGACTAGCCCGAATCCGCGGGCGTTACAATGGCACTTTCTCAGTTCTGTCCTCACTCGAGGTCTTTTCGGATCAGTTGGTGGACGCAATCGCGGTAAAACAAACCTTTTGATTATCATGTATGGGCTTTTCTATGAAATCAATGTTGACTACGTGTCTATTCTTTGGGAAGATTTCCTTACCTTTCTCACTGGTGGTCTATCATTATTCATGATGTCATCAATAATAGCAATCTTACACTAGATGGGATTCCAGAAGGCCCACAACCACATTTTTGCATATGAAACCATATAGGATTCGTACTGCATCTGAATCTGAGTCTTCACATCCGGTCATCATTACAGATGCTATACTTTCAAAGCTGGATAAAAATAGTGCCTCTCTACGCTCATATCAAAAATACATCCACGGAATTACTTCGCCTCTCAAAAAGAATAGGAAGCACTCAGATCAAGCATCCACTAAGTTGGCAAAGAAGAAGAATCGATCAAAGTAAAATCAACAGCCTCTTATCCCATCTCCATCCGTCTCTGATGATAATCTTGGAGTAGATTTAGATGAGCCCACATCTCCTCCTAAATCTGGTACAACCTCTAAGCCACTCTCTTTCTTAGATTCCTTGTTTCAAGCTCCATCTGATTATGATGAACCATCCTCTCCATCTTCAGTTTCACCAGCAAGCTTTCAATCGGTTCTAGAATGTCCAAGAAATTGTGTCTCCTTGGATTATGACTCATTTGAGGACGATGACCAAGATGGTGAAAAGTAATCTGAACTTGAAGATTTTCCAAAAAGCTCTCCGGTACAAGATAATCAAGATGGAGATACTCAAATGCAAACGATAGACATACCTTCCAGTGAAGGAATGATAGTTGATGATGAACCATACGACATGTCAATTGTCCTATACTCCAAACCATCTAACAGGACATTCAACATTGATCTTTATGATTACTCTCCTTCACCTCAAAAATAGTCTCAAGAACATGATGATACTCAAGAACCTAAGTTCTCTTCTTTTCCACCTGATCCTCCTCAAGACGATGGTAATCCAGTAGATACAAATGAAGCAAATACATCTGAACCTGAGCCTAAACATATTAGATTAACAGCTCAGATGGTAGTTGATGGTATTGAGGAAATTCGCTTTCATACATCTTCTGACTCTGAATATATGGACAACTTTCAAGAGTATCTTGAACGTATGGAAGACAATGTGTGTATCCTTAATCAGACAAATGAAGAACATGTAAAAAAACTTCAGGTCACTATTGAAGACTTTGAAGGCACAACTACTTATATAAAGGGACAAGTTGCTCGCAACATGCGGAGGATCGAAACTCTAGATCAGAAAATTCACAACACTACTGAAGATCGTCTATCTCCGATGCATCAGAAGATAGATGACTTTATTCAGTCCTTATCCATTCTAGAGTCTGTCTATGGAGCCAAGTTAGATCATATGCAGAATCATGTAACTGCTCAAGACCAGTACATCTCCACTCTTGAGAAGTCCATTGCAGAACTATCTAAAGCTTCTGTATCATCCTCCAACTCTCCCTTTCAAGAATTTAGTGAGCAAGTTCAACGCCAGCTGGATTCATTGCGATCAGACATTGCAAATCTCTCAAAATCAAATTCCCAGAAAGGCCATAACTCCTTAGGTGAAATATCTTCTCTTCAGAAGACTATTCAGTTGCTAGTGAATGAAGTCAACGCTATCAAGACACAATCTTCTTCTTCTGATATATGTGAACTTCAACAAAAAGTTGCATCGACTGATTCCAAGCTTGACTTGATCTTGGCAAAGTTATCTGTTTCAAATGATAGGCCACCTGAACCGGAGGGGGAAAAGGTCAAAAAGACCATATCAAGTTAGTCTCCTATCATACATCAAATTCCAGACTCGCTAAATGAGTTTGAGAAAAGGAGACAATAGCAACTACAGTCACTCAATAAAATGATTGCTGATGCACGATTAAAAGCTCAACAGAACAAAGCAAAGATGGCTGTGAAAGAAAAGGAACTCGTTCGACAGCAATGGATCAAGGATCCAACTCTAAAAGTTCCAAGAAGGAAAGATGTTTACATCACCAAACTTGTCACCATATCATAACCAATTGCTCAACCAAAGCTTCCTCAAACTGATCCCAAGGATAGAGGAAAATAGAAGATTGTCTTCAAGTCTAAGAAGGAGTTATCTAAAGAAGCTCAAATGGAAATAGATGAAGAATTAGCTAAGCAACTTAAGTTTAAGGATTTAAAGTCTAAACAAGAGGTGCTTTTCAAAAAGAAATCTTCAGAGATCTCGCCTAAAGAAAGAAGTGCATGGCATGATGAACAATTTAGAGCACCATCTCCTAAAAGAACCATCTTCTTCAATCCTGATAGAGATACTTATCAGAATATCAAGGCCATCCAGCCCACAAATTCCTTCACACCTCCTTCAGACCTCACTAAAGAAAACTAGGATATTCCTGCACTCCGGAATGGTATGAAGTTTAATTTATGGCAAAGTACAATTTATCCAGTTGAGCCTTATGTAGACATTGAAGAGGTGAAGAAAATATTCTTCCTAAAGAAACCAATTCAAGTTGTCTCGGTATGGTCAATGTTCAAGATTGCTTCAATTAGAAAAATTGACATATGGAAATCTAGAAAGATGCCATATGCATTCTTTCAAGGAAAAAGGACAGACAACTCTAAATTCATGTTTTCTGATGATATTAGCTCACTGATCATTTGGTTGAAACAGAGAGCGGGTACCGATAAAGATTATGTAGATGTCCTACAACGCCTAAGGCAATATGTGCTCGACATGGTTATTAATTTAAGTGTTAACTGGGAGATTGGACACGTTGGAGAAAAGGAAGCTGAGGAACCAGATTTGGATCTAAGTATGGAAAACGACTCACCTGGGAACATGTTAAAGAAACCACACAGAGGAGTTGTATTCTCTTCTAAAGGTCAACTGAGATTTATGAGAATCTATCAAAAACATCTATTATCTTCTGAATTCATTAAAGGCATCATTGGTTTATTGAAGAGAATAGGAGATCAAGATAATTCGCTGAGAGTGAAGATCATTGAAAAAATTACTTGGTTTTTAAGTTTTCAACAGTGGTTAATAAACTTGAGAAATAGATTTTAGATTGTGTGTTTTTGTTTTGTTTTAAAAGCATGTGGATGATGTTTTCTTTTTGCTACTATTAATTCATCTTTTTTGTTAAAATTCATCTTGCATGTTATTACTTTTTTTTTACTTCTTATTTCAGTAACCATCTCATAAGGGGAAACTGTTGGAAAATATTTGTATGTGATTGCCACTTGAAATAATTCGAGTCCTTATATATATATCACTAAAAAATGTTATCAAAATGTTTTAGGTTGGAAATATCCTGAAGATTCAACAAGTTTTTAAAGAATCAGATGTTGGAGCACTTGAAGTGAACATGGAGCACTTGATGTACACATGAAGCACTTGTTGTTGACATGGAGCACTTGTTGAACATGGAGCACTTGAAGAAAGCAAGTTGGATCATCATGATCTCAGATGGCACATCTAGATCATATGTGGAGCATCAAGACATTGATATATCAACATGAATGCTTGGTGGCTCAACTTAAGTCAATGGATCAACATGATCACATTGATGGCTCAACAAGGTTGCACATGACACATCATCTACAATGAAGGCACGTTTAAATGCTCAAAGGAACATGAATTTCATCCATGGTCCATCATAAACACGTGGTTGTACATCTTCACGTTCAAGACACATTTCAACATTCAAGAAACAACTCAACTTGATCAAAGACACTTCTGGAAGCTATTGACATCTAGAAGACAATTGAGCAACATGATGCTCATGTTGCTCATCACATTTTCAACGTTGATCAAGAAGGCTCAAGAATTATGAAGACTCATAACTTGGATGGAACCCCAATGGCATACTAACAGAATTGGAATATTCCATCCATTCTCCATTAAGTAGGGCAAATGTGTCAACTGATAACTAGGTCATAATGACGTGTCAACACCTGATTGTTCAAGCCATGTCATGGGCTTTTCCAAATCCTATAAATAGGCCCCTTGGGATCCATTATAAAATTGCTCTTCCTTGCTCAATTCTGATCATTCTGCTCATTTTGCACAATTGTTGCTTAGACTAGTTTTCAAAGAGCCACTTGAGAGTTTTAGTGTGTTTTACATTCAAACACTTGTAACTGAATTCTGATGAATATGAGACACTTTTGAATCATTGATCTTGAACATATAAAAAACGTTTTTATCAATAACTTGGTGATTCACAACTCTTTATTTTCCGCATTACTTGCCACTTAACGATTCTGAAACTCTGTTTCAGTATTTTCAACTCTTGGACTCTTCAAGTCTAAGGTTTACTGAATTTTCTCATTTCTTTATAATCTTCTTGTGAAGGATTGTATGTTGAGGAAGCAGGAGGAGAAGAAGGAGAAAGTGAAAGAAGAGGTGGAATATGTGATGAAGATAGAGGAACTACGTTCAAAATCCAAGAATCTTTCCTTGGTTGCGAAGGGCGCTGGTTATGATGATGGAACCTATCAAATCTGGTCCTCTGGCTCCGATGACGAAGAAATGCATCATGCTACTCATGGATTCATCTCGCAAAGCATGTTGAGGGTCATTTTGGTGAAAAGATCTTGTTTTTTGAGATTGGGGAAGATAGTGACTGGGAAGAGATGGAGAAGGAGAAAGAAGAAGAGGGTGAATATGAGGAAGACATGTTGATGGGAAGGTTTTTCGTTACGATAGATTTAAAGTCTCAGATAACCGTGAAGGTACGTGATCTTTTTGTTTTTGTTAATCGTCCTTTAAATTCTTACCATGTTATTCTATCTGATTTTGATGATACATACTCTTACTTAAATGATATGTTGATTTCTATGAGTAGCAAAATGGAGAAAACTAAGACTATACTTTACGAAGCAAGAAATAAACTGGAGGAGAAGAACACTAGCATAGAAGGCCTAGAGTTAAAAATCAGAAATGTCATGATAGATAAGGATTCTATGAGGATGGACAATAACATGTTGGTTAAGCAAATAAATACTTATTGTAACACTGTTAAATGTCTGTATGGGAAGTTAACACTGTTTATGAAACTACTTTTGATTGTGAGAGTAAGGTAGCTGATTAGGATAATGTTCCAAATGATTCTTATGCATATGGTATTGTGAATATTGATGACTATTTGAATGTTGATGAATTGGTTGATATTGTGAATGAGACTTTAACCAAAACGAACAAATTAATTTTTTTAACAATACTGAGAATTTGACACAAAGTACTCAACAAAATTTTTCTGATATCGAAGATGATTCTGACAATATTAATGACTTGAGGAAGAGGAATGTGTTGGTTGCTCAAAAAGTGTCTCTTAATAATGTCACTTCGTTAGCCAATAGCAAAGAAAATGATGATTAAAAAACGAAGCTAGACAGTGATTCATATTCGCCAACCAAAGGTGATGATTCTCAAGAATCAGTTATTGTCAAATACATAACAAACAATGAAAGTGACAATGATGATGATTCTTATGATAATGAAATTCCACGAGGTCTTGAAGCTCAAGTTTTTGTGGATACTGAGGAATTTACAAAGATTTTGAAAGAAAACGGAAAACATTTTCTTGAACAAAATTCAGTTCATTATCCCACATTTATTAAAGGCCTTCCAAATCAATTTTTCATTACAACGGGAAATGGGGATAATGTCGATCCTAAGATGAATGAGTTTTCAAAATAAGATAATCCAAAAAGTGAATGATGAAGGTTTTTACTCTATTAAAAATGTTGTGGAAAATGACTTGAACCAAAGGTCAAAAAGTTTTCAACGTCAAAAGAGTCAAAAATCTTTTTCCAAAGAAAATGAAAAGAACAAAAATGGAGCTTGGGTTGTGAAAACCAATAAGCTTGATGTCGAAGGCGAAAAAGAGAAAATTTGTGAGAAGTCTTTACCACATTATTTAAACAATCAAAAGGCAAAGACTCAATCTTTTAAAAATAGTAATGAAAAATCTGTCTCTACAGAAGAAATTTCCAAAAAGAAAGCTCATAACAAGGCTTATTGGAAGAAAATAAGAGATTTTCAAAAAGAAAAAAAGTTGAAAAAAAAATCACCACAAAAACAATAAAAGAAGTTTTCTCAAAAATCTAAAACTCATACTTCAAAAGAACCTTCGAAAGTTGTTCCAAAAGTTGTTAACAAAACTGTTGAGAACAAGAAGCAAAATGATTTTTCTCAAAAGTTGAATATTAATCAAAGTTTAAAAAATGAAACAAGTTCAAAAGGATCAAAATAATTTTGAAAGAAATGCTCCAAAGAAATTTTCACAAAATCATAAAAGTTTTAAAGAGAATCTCATTTTGGATATCAAAATCGATATCAAAATCGCTTTCAACAAAAATTGGGAAAATATTTTTCGCAAGAAAGCTTTTTAAACCAACAAATGTTGTGAAGAAAAATGTACCATTCAAACCTGATGGTCCACGTTTTCAAAATCCTGATTCAAAGCACTAGTTTAATGTTTCATTTGTCTAGGAAAAAATGAGATGAAGAATTTTAATCATTGGTTTGAAGAAAAATTAAAGAAATTTCAATCTAAAGAGTATCCTCAAGAACAAGTTCAAAAGGCTTATGATGATTACTTGAATGAATCAATAAGTGGAAGTACTTCGTAACCGGAATCATTAACGAAGCCTTCAAAATGGCGAGAAGTTAAAACAAACAATAAATATGATTTTTGTGGGAAATAGGTTGAAAAAGAGAAAATGAAAGTTGAAACTTCGCCATTAAATGATTACATTTTTTTGCCCAAATCCAACGAAGTTGATTTAAATGACAAAATAAAAACAAAATTTCGAAGTTAGATTTTTAGTTCTGCACTGCACACGACATTCCACACTAATGTCCAAAGACCCAAAAATCCTTGGGGACCTAAATCTATTTGAATAATTGTAGGTACTATGTGACGAGCAGTATGAAAAAAAATTGTTATATCGATAGTGGATGCTCGCATCACATGACAGGAAGGAAGGAGAATCTAAGAGATTTTAGGAAATTGGATAATGCGGGAGTTGTGAAATTTGGGAATATCAGAAGTGTAAAGTCAAGGTATATGGGAAAGTGATGAATGGGAAGTTTACTATGAATTAGATCGCTTATGTCGAAGGTTCGAAGCACAACCTTATAAGCGTATCTCAATTTTTCGTTGGAACTGGGAATCAAGTTCTCTTTTATGGAGAAGGAAGTGGGATATCGAACAAAGAAACATAAGAAGTCTTGTTAAAGTCGAATAGGAAAGGCGATATGTTCACTCTGGACATAAAACCAATACTTGGCATTCCCTATGTTTGCTTACTATCAAAGGCTACTTCTGACCTATACTAGCTTTGGCATCGAATACTTTCTCATCTGGATTTCAAAAATTGAAATAAACTTGTTTAAATGATCTTGTTTGTGGTTTACCTGTTTTAAAATTTTACAATGATTCTTTGTGTGCAGCTTGTGAACAGGTAAAACAACATCGTCAAGGTTATCCAATCATTATCGATTCTAAGATTGTTGAATTGTTGTAAGTTCTACATATCGGCTTGTGTGGTCCTTCGACTATTGAGTCTCTTAATAGTAAGAAGTACATAATCATTATTGTAAATGATTCTTCACGCTTTACTTGAGTATATGTTCTTAGACAGAAAACTGAGACTACTCAAGTGATGATTAATTTCATCAAAAGCATCAAATTGAGTCTGAAAAGAAAGTTGGACGAAACAAAAGCAATAAAGGAACGGAATTCAAGAATCAAGTTCTCGATTTATTCTTGATGAATCTTGGAATTTCTCATAATTTTTCATCTCCTTACACACCATAACAAAACGATGTTGTCGAAAGGAGGAATCGCTCTTTGTGCGAAGATGCTAGAAAAATGCTCACTTACGCAAATCAACCTCGATATTTATTGGCAGAAGCAGCTTGGACATCATCTTTCACTCAAAATCGTTCTTTCATTCATCTTAGATTCAACATCACACCTTATGAAATCATTAACAAAAGGAAACCTAATATCAAAATTTTCCATGTTTTGGGTTGCAGATGTTTTATCATGAATC